CCATTCCTATCAGGGTGTCCAACACGACGCGGTAGGATCTGTACCACTATCAGGGTGTCCAACACGACGCGGTAGAGTGTTCCGCAAAACATTGATAGTGGTACTGAAGTCGACTGGTGTGGACGATGCTCAGTCTATGTTGTAGAAGTGGGTAGAATATGCAAGCTTGGCAGAACGAGGTGAACGTTCATTGTCTATCTATCTAGAGGCTCAAAAAGAGTGTGTTGAACGAGGCAGAGTGATGAAGCAGACATTGGTTGTACGTTTGGTACTTGGAGTTGGACCTACTTTCAAAAAATGCTCGTTGGAGAGGTCTTGCTGCATTGTATCATTGTCGATTTGTGTAGGACAGCCAATTCCCTTTTACGGACCCCTTCTGCATATAACCAAGCATGGAATATTCTCATGGAACATTTCATACGTGGCGTGCACGCGCGCAAGCGGTATATTCGATTGTGCATTCTTCTGCAATCATGTCGCAAGCCTTCCATCGCAAACCGTATCACCGGTTCATGCTAGAGCTTGCATGGAATTCATGTGCGTAGGGTTATATGCAGCCGCCTTCCTTGTCTGTCTAATACCTTTCCTACTCAACAGTGCTAAAGCTATTCCTGGGACGAACACCGTCGATCCTGCTACGTAAACCTGACCTGATCCGTCGATTGCTGGGCGAACCGGGCACACTATTCTGATTGATTGAAGAAATCAAAAGTTTCTACCCATCGATCCGCACACTCACACAGTCATCTACGGCACAACAGAAACCAAATGTCAGTGTCATTGCTAACTTCTCGAGGAAAGTACGATGCCTTCGCAATCCATCTCCAAAGAATCCTATGTATGTCTTGTATTTATCCGAACATTGCATAACCTTGTCGTTGTATTTATCGATCTGTGTCAAAGACCACTTTGTTCCAGAATGTGTAAGTGAATGCATATACTCTCCATCAAATATGCATATCGTTTTATAAACTCTACAGAAAGTGTATCCAGTCCCATAATATTCTGTTCGATGTTCCTGATAAATCTCACAGCATTCATTCGCTAAAGTCTCGTTGATAAAGGGTATATCATAGCAAACATAGTTATTCGGAGCACGTCCACGCACGAAATATAGTACATAATGGCCAGTCTCCAATTGTTTCAAGTCGTTGACCTGTAACATCTTGTTATTTTGTTGTAGAACAATTTAAATTTTTTGCTCATGCAAAGCTCAGAACCGTGAATGTAGGGATACTGGTGAATGTCCCACCAAAGTCGTACGTCTGTCCCGCAGGAAGACCCGACTGCACGATCCATGAGGGAAGCGATAGGGTAGTTTCAGTCTCCGTAATACTCCAAGGTTTCAATGTAGTGCTTGGCTTGTTCAACACGATGCTGTGCACCGTGTTTGCGGTGTTATTCTTCATAAAGATCTGCGAGTTGTATTTCGTAACGCCTCCCTCCGACCAGGAGCTTGTCACCTGGGACGTCACCGAGATGCCACCGCTTGTAGGTGGTGGCGTGGGTGTCACGACAGGAGTCGGAGTTGGAGTAACGATAGGTGTTGGTGTGGGAGTCACAACTGGTGTCGGAGTCACCACTGGAGTGGGAGTGTTAGGTGTCGCCAGAGTCACCGTGATCGTGTTGTCACCGTTGACCACAGCTGAGACTGGTGTGGGTGTCACGGTCAACTTCCACACATTAGGTGTAGTCTGCAGTGAGACTGCAACGGTTGGTGCGATGGGAGTAGGAGTCGGAGTTGGTGTGGGTGTCGGTGGGATAGGAGTTGGGTTGGTGGGACTCTGCATATCCGCCAGCATCCCGAGGGTGATCAGAACCTCACTCTGTCCCC